CACGTGTATATTATATTATGGCCCTTAATGAGGTATATGAAATGTTCTATACCGTACACTTCTCGTTTCTTCCGTGAGAGGCCCGATATGGAGAGGTTTTACAGTTTATCACGAAAATGTCTACTTGGTCTCATGGCTCTTTGACAGCTCAAAGAAGGCAAGAAAAGACCAGAAAGCTTAGAATGTCAACTCGCAAGAGCGGGCTACCGGACAACTGAACCCAATTTAGACATTTAGATTAACCCTAACTCTAACCCTAACCCTAACCCTAACCCTAACCCTAACCCTAACCCTAACCCTAACCCTAACCCTAACCCTAACCCTAACCCTAACCCTAACCCTAACCCTAACCCTAACCCTAACCAATTAAGCTGATTGGTTAGTGGGAACTAGGTTCAATTGGGTTCAGTTGTCAGTCTTCGATCTGTCCCACATTAATCCCGAGCTGATCATCATGGGCCCCGAATATCCTGCGGGAAGAACCTGTATTTTACTTCACGACGTCCGGATTTCAAATCAACATCCTCAATAACATTAACAATCCTTCCTGATCAGGATCTGTCTCTATTAGCAATTTCCAAAATATCCTGACTCTCGTGGAACATTTCACTGAATTAATTATTACCGGTTCTTTACTACCCCTTGCCCGACACTGTACTCGTATCTAAATCTTACCCTTTCCCGTATGTTACCCTTGTTGATTTTACTTTTAGCCGACCCTGACATATGGGGGTGATTTGAGGTATCCCGCAAATGAAGCGGTATGCAGTACTGCAGTACAATACAAAACAGTCACAGTAGATGTTGGAAGGTGTATTTACACTTGCTTCCTGGACCTGGCTGTTCCTCAGTTTCCCTGATCTGTTCTTGCCCTTCTTCGAACTGTAAATGAGCCATGAGACCAAGTAGACAACTTCGTGATAAACTGTAAAACCTCTCTATACCGGGTTTCTCGCGGTATAAAGCGTTTCATAAACCTCATTAAGAGCCATATAACTATTATACACGTACTGTGTCGTATTGTGATTGAATATAGCTCGATATGTATTACTACCGTAGATTGGGGTAAAATCGCCGTGTCGGGGAACTTCGCCACTATTTTTCAAATAATCATTTTACTGTTTTGAATTGTTAGGAGATCGAGTTTTTGTATAGTATTGTGTTGAAAAAATGGTTATAAAGGTATTCCTATTCAAAAATAAACGTTTACTATGTTAATTAAACTCAGGCAACATAAAATATTGCTATAAAGTGGCTAAAATTTCCTGCTTGCATATTTCCCATATTTTACAATTATATCCTTAATTAATTCTGTGTGACATCATTAGCATATGTCCTGTTCATTTATTTTTAAGGGCAAATTTAGTTAGCCATGATGCACACAACTGATATTATAGAGTTTTCAAATTTGTGTGTGGCGAAGTTACCCTCTTCTGATCCCATCTGTTCGGCGAAGTTTGGCGCGAAATTCGCGCGCGGCTGGCAAAGTCACGCACGTGTATTGGCGAAGTTCGACTACATTTTTACTTCATCCCGGCGATGTTACCCGCAGGCCGCAGCATGGCGATGTTACCCCGGCGACCAAATTGCCCATTGTAACACGCAGGCTAGAGCTAGATAAGTAAAATTGGCAGGTATATCAAGGAAATATAATTGAGTTTCGAGTGGTATGGTGCTTAGCACCGAATATGGTATAGTTTCAGAATGGCGAAGTTACCCCATATTGCAGGGTAACTTCGCCCTGATTTCAGTGGCACTAATCTAGCTGACTATTTATGCCTGGCTGATGTGGTTCATACGAAAACATTTGCTTTACCAATCCTGTTCATATGAGCTATAAAATTTTTCAAGTACTCGTGTCGTATTTTCTAAATAACATGAAATAGCTGTAAAACATGGCGAAGTTCCCCCATTCTACGGTACTTAGTTTACATCACCCACCAAATGCGATATGAACAACTCGGTTTGATTGTTGAGGAAAAGAAGAGGTCTGGTAATACAGGTAGGCCGGTTTAGATTAGCACAATTGACGGTACAGAGAGGTTTTATTTATTACAAATGTGATTATCTTAACCCCACTGATTCATCATTGAAATCAATAAAATGACAGTACAGCAGGCCATTGTTTCGATCTTGACTGTGCCATTGGTGCAGATTCTGTGAAAATCGATAAGGCTGTATTGTAATTAGTTATGAAACTCTTATATCGCGATTGTATGGTTAAACTTAACGTTTTTCAGTTTCAGACCTTTTCACTTAGAGTTAGTAATTCCTGATTATTACTAAAATCTGCCGAGATTTACTGAACTCCAACTACAAATATTGGTGATTTAATTATTCTTGAAACGAAAAATTGAGTAAGTTTTTTTTGAAAATCATTTTTCTCCGCGTTTCATGCAATTTGATCACTTTTGGCGGAAAAAAATATTTTGAATTTTCGAAATTTTTCCAAGTCTCGAAAAAAAAATGTAAGTGAAAAATTTTCAAATTTTTTCTAAAAACTACTTTTCTCCGTGTTTTAAGCTATTGCGATCATTTTTAGCCAATAAAAAATTTTTAGAATTTTGCTAATTGGTTAATTGATAATTATCCAATTAACTTATTATCTGACGTAAAAATTGTTAGAACAAAAGTTTTTCTTCCTGATAATATGAACACACTCGATTGATTCGCAACCTTTTACGATGTTCACAACTAAAGATATTCGACAAACAAGAAAGGTGGTAAAAAGTGGTAAAGTGGCAAAAAGTGGCCTTAAGCCACGTGGAAAAGTTTGGAAAAGTTGGTCAGCCATAAAGGGCACCTAATGGGACTCAAAAACGTCAAAAATCCTCTGAAAGCTTCGTGTGTCAGCAGATCGATTTTTTCAGACGGATTTCCCTGTACTATGCATCCGCACAGCTCTTATAAGCATAACTGGAATCCCGGTATATAAAGGACCTCTCCCGCAAATTAAAGGCAGCTAAAAAATGTGCACGCACTGCTACGTTACTACGTTACTACTATACTATACACACTGCTGACTCTGCATACCGACAACAAGGTATATTTGTTACTTGTTTCAGCCTGCCCATGTGTGAAGTAAACACAAACCAGAACCACGTGACCGTGTGGAGCAAACAAATTACTCTCATCCGGTTCAGCTAGATACAATTCCCACGCTACCCACGATAGAAAGTGACCTGCACCTGATTGGAATTATCAAGTAGGTCAGATAACTTAAAGCTTTGTATATCCCAATGTTTTGGTTGTGGGTGCTGACATTTGGAAGGCTTCTCCACGCTGTATACTCCAGTAAATATCAAATCAACCAACTTTTTGACAACCAAAATACCAAAATACCAAATATTTGAATGTACGGAAAGCGGAAAGTGAGTGACTCCGGCTAGGTGGTTGCGAGGTGGCTGATAATAGTTTAATAGCCGGATATCTTGACACCGGTAAAGAAAGCTCCAGGAGCGGGATAAAATAATGGGGAACAAGAAATAAAAGTTTAGCGTGTCACTGTGTATGTTTGTTTTGTGTCGGAAAACCTATAAGTAGGTAGTCGATGACAGCTGATTTTTTACCGAAAGTCAGAGAGAATCAGGCTTCCTAGCAACAAGTCGGTACCTTGGTTACTGCGGAAAAGGAGCCGAGCAATGACCTGACGAAATATCGCGCGACTGTAAGTTAAAATGTCTACTGATGAGGCAGGTTTATTTTAGTCCTTAAAACTTCTTTTGATAACGTTTGACGCTGAAATTTGATCAACTGCCAACAGGAGAGATCACGACTTTTAGAATGTCAACTTGTAGTATTTACTGACGTTCATCAGCCTATGATTCTACGCATCAATTATATGTCAACTATTTATGCTCTGTGGGCTGACTGGTCTAGCTTATAATAATAAAGTCTTGTTGTCACGGTAACAAAATCTATCAGATGAAATAAGTATATTCATTCTGGGAATAGTTTATACACAATTCAAACTCAAAGTTTATCGTATAAAACGTTTAAATTCGATGCATTCTTAGCTCCAAAGAACTTGTTATTCAATTTTTGTTGTTTCAGACTTAGAAAACAACCAACTTATAAGTCTTTCAGACCGATCACTACTTCTTAAATATTTGAACAGTTTTTGGATATCACACATATGAGCGGTACCCGGTGTAAATACCACTACCAGGTTTCTGATTGATCTCCGTCCAACCGAATAATAAGACAGACAAGCTTTTTATGTTAATGTAGATTTATAGAACCAGCCTTTACCATCAGCAGTGCACACTGCACACTGCACACTTATATAGATTACCTAATGTCTATGAGTATGTAGATTGTAGAAGCTTGTATTGAACGTGCTCATATCATAATTTGTTAGTTATCAAAGATTCAAGTGCACTCGGCATTTTTGTGAGCGATAGTATCACGTGTTTTAAAAATATAAAAAGTAAACTCACTTTTGTAAAGCAGTTTGTAACGTTTTAACACTACTCCACCTCTCACAACCGGTAAATTCCCATCTGATTTGCTCTCCCTTTTTTTAAATTCCCATCTGATTTGCTCTCCCTTTTTTAAATTCAATCCGTAAAATTAAAAGTTGTAGTGGATGCTTCACAAACAGGAGGAATCAAATACATCAATAGAAATAGTATAGCAAGCATCGGAGTATAAAAACTAGTCTTGAAAAAAGAAGTAAAAATTTAAGCAAGCCTTTAGGAGCCAGCATGCTAACAGTACAAACGAATATATAAACTGTAGAAAAAAGTAGACAGAGCAAGATATAATAAAGTGAGAAAAGTTTGGACGGCTAGAGAAATGAATATCGTCTGGAGGTGAACCACTCTTCATGATTCAATGTCTGATGGATCTGCTGACTATTGATGTCATGTATAAACACAGTTGCCTGGAAGTAGGTCTACACAGTTTCCACAGCTGCAGTAAGGAGCCTTAACAGTTCAATTCCACTGCTCCTGATTGCTCTAGTAATCCTAAAATATCCTAGCACATTTCTGATCATCTGCTACTGATTTCTATGATAAATCTCAAATATCCTAGCACATTTCTGATAATCCGTTATTGATTACTATGGCAATCCTAAAGTACCCTAGCACACAATTCTCTGCTAACTACACACATCTCATTTCCAAACGGTAAATTCAGACATTAACCCTGTTACATAACAACTGTATCATTCACAGTGTAATTTACCACCCGCAGCTAACAGAACTAAAAGTCTCCACCTCAGGTTCGTCTGGCAACTGTCTGTCACACTGTCACAGTACTTAACAAGACTTGTTCTGCTCTCCACTTTGTATCGAGTAAACTCTTCTTCCTTTACTGCTCGCTGATGCATGGGTAAGTACAATTGTAGAATCACAATATCCCTCACACACTCTCACTTTTTTTTAGCCAGAGGCCTTCTTTTTAGCCAGAGCCCTGATTTTAGCTCTCATTCTTAGTCCAGATAAGCTTTAACAGCTGCTCCTATTGGTGGGTTATCGCCTGAATTTCCGTTATCACTTAACCCTCTGTCTAATCGTCCCTTCTTTCCCCGGGTTTTGGCGGCTTGTTTTCTGGATCCGTCCAGAGCTTCAATACCAAACACGTCTTTTAGATCAGGATACAGCTTTTCTGAAATAAATAGTTATCACTCAATTACTGCGTTGGTTTTCTAGGTTAGCTGGTTGTCGAACTGATCTGATTGCCTAGGTGATTGCCTAGGTGACCGTGGCCTGGTTTGTAGATGAACTGGTATTCTAGGTGAACTGGTTACTTACCTAAATTCTGTATAAGTGGTTCGTAATATTTCCTGCCCTTAGGATCAGTCTTTACGAGAACCAAAAGATAACAACCTCTTTCCTGCAAGAAAAATACAATACAATGAATACATCAGATAATAACTTACAGAGATATTCACAACAACAATTACCGGCTATATTCACAACATAAGGAAATGAAGTGACATTTAAGAATAACTTGCTAGATCCGTTTATTCTCTGTGACTAGTTAACGTTACTAACCGTAAGACACTCTGAACCCATAACACTTCCTTTTCTGGAGTATATCGAGAGGGCTCTACCTTCCTCATCCATCAAGTCTAAAGTGTAATCATCTGAAATATTAACGTTCAAACAGAAGCTAAGTTTTGTGAAATCACATGTTACTATAATAGACCCAATATTGAGCATATCTTATCAAGTTAAGAGGAATATAAATCGAGCTTGATGTTGTAAAAGAAGCATTAAAAGTCCAACTAAACTCACCTTGTTCCACTTGAAATGGGCATCTATTCGTTATGTCTCTGAGGAGGGCGTCCAACTGACAATTTAAGTTAAACAACCGTTCTTCGCTCGCTCCAGATCGGACTGTTATAAACATTCTGCGGATTTTTGATTGGCTGAATATATTATATAAACATTATACATTATACATTATACATTAAATACATTTTCTTATCTCTCGAGTGTTTTAGTTTATTGGCTAAATATATTTTCTTATCTGTCGAGTGTCTATAGGTCAAAATTTTGTCGATTACTGAATTTTGAAAGTTGGAAAACATTTGGTAGAATGCTTAATATAGGTTATCAGAATTTTTCGTAGTGACTGTCGAAGTGTTTATAGGTTTTAAATATTTTCCGGTCATTAAAATGTTTAATCAATCTAATGAGTGATCATAACCATTCCGTCTTAATAATGCTACAGCCAGTATGAAATTCAGTCGAGGGTCTTTTCTATTAAAAAAATTGAACATATTAACGATTGCTACAAATTGAAGTAGTCATTTTTAAATAACGGCCGAGAAAAATTGCATCAATGTCAAATGACAACCAAAACAGTCGAAAGAACATAATGCATGGTCATTCCGTCTGCATTGAAATTTTTGACAGAATTTCAATTTGAAGCAAAACTGCGGGCCACCTGTTAGTTATTCACGAGAGATATGCTGCATAACGTGCCAAGAAAGTTCGAGAAACAAGTACCTCTGCTTGCCATGATGATGACTGAATATTTGTTTTTAAGTTCGAATTTCAAAATACAATAGATTAAAATCGAGAGTATTGTTTTGTTGTTTGATGTAACGATGTTCATTAAATGTTCTAACTTTTCGTTGGAATTGAAACTGAGCGATGTTGAAACTCTAAATGTTTAACGTATGGCCAGCGGCCAAATCATAGTATATGTGGGAAAAAACATAAACTGTAATAAAAGCAGGTCATTAATTGTAAAATAAACGAAAGAAATACAATTTGGTAGCGCCAAAAAACATTATTCTGAAAACATTGAACGAACTGAATGATTGCAACGTAAGTAAACGACAATCTGATCAAAGGAAAAAGTGCGGTAAACAAGACAAAAAGTTATTTGTAAAAAGTAAAAGCAGTTACCAGATTAAACTCCATTTTAAATGTACTACTTTAACAAACAACGCCGCCTGCAGCCAGTTGTGATCGCATGGTAGCGCTATAATAGTCTCTAATATAGAAAACATGGCAGTGGTAGTTTCTAATTTGTAACTTTACGGGAAATGGTGCACATCTTGCACATCACGGTAGCTTCTTTGTCGTCGTTTAAATGCTGTGATTGAGTGGTATTCTACACGATATCAATTAGAGATAAACTTAGCTTCATTGATCAAAGAGGAGATTCACGAGCAAATAAAAACGCCACTAAAAGACTTGCTTTGTTACGAATAGAGTAGTAAAGCGAGAAAATATGTGGTAAAGAAATATCAGAATATCGCTGCACGTGCAGGTGATGAGCTTGAGGTTTCCAACTCCTGAGTTTAGACTTATCATGTGGACCGATCAGTCGCTGCTTGATAGATCATCCTTACGTCGACAAACTGAAACTAGAAAGTGGCTGATTGCTAAAACATGGAGCATAGCAGTGGATTCGTGGTGTCAGTGAATTGTGGTCAAAACTTGTTTAACCCTGATGCGTGGGCATCGGTCGATAATGGCTGGTGGACGTTTTGGTCGAAACTTGAATCTTCATAAGCAATCTTGAAAAGCAATCACTACTGTAAACTTTGCGTCAGCTGTTTTGATTAAGCTGATTCGGGGGATTTAAAACCGATGCAGTTTTTAAGTGTTGACCAGTCTTTTTTATTTACCGATAAGCATACATCAGGGTTGATTTCAAATATTATAAAACTGAGGCTTATTCACCAATACAAGTTAATCGAAGTAAATATTTCAAGCGTGATTTTATACATCATGGTTTGATTTATTTCAGCATTCTCGATTAATCCACCAAATCTTCAAGGCGGTTTCCAAAACCAACAAAAATACAGCACTCCTCAATTGCTCAATAGTGTATTGAATAATGGTCATGTGGCATACCGCAGTGGAATGAATTCAGCTGCATCCACACTCTTAAAATGACTAAGACTATCAGGTGATTTGTTCAGCAAACTAAAAATACGGTTTTGTCCCTAGGACGGGTATCAACCTAACTCTTAGGGAACTAAATACGAATTATTGGACAAAGAAACAAACAATTAGCAGGGATAAATTCAATAAGACAAAGAATGAAAAGAATACGAATTGTTATGTAATGAATTGGACACATTGAAACTGTATTTGATAAGAAATTGTTTGACCAGTAGCAACTAGGTCTGAACCATGATAATTCAATTACAATTACAGCTCTGCACCTGTTGTGTACTAGATCAAGTTTCGAGACAGGTTATTTTGCCATGGTTACCAATACTGTTGCCATAACCACATCATCAGTCTAAAAACAAAATAACGCAAATTTGCATTCGTTTATCAGGAAATCTTGAAAAAAAACCTCAACTCTTGTTTATGAGCAAATTTCAAAAATGGCGTACTCAAAAGACGTATTCAACACATTGAATAAAAATCTCGAAGGTAGCACACTTACAATAAAACAAGTTTCACATTATAAAACTCTAGCTGGATTGAAACAACCGGAACTGAAAACTCACCTAGAGTTGGCTCGAATGTATTTTCACACGTGACGTTGATCCTCAATTCTGATTGGTCACCAGTTCCATCCTTCAATTCTGATTGGTCACAAGTTCCATCCTTCAATCATGAATATACCACGTGATTAGTATGTACTGGAACTAACAATCGAACACTTTAAAATAACGACAACATTGTATGTTTAAGCCTGTGTCTTTGCTCAATTGACAAGTAAAAAGTACTCATGATTTGCTAAAGTTATTGGATGGCGCGCACACGTGGGTGCAGTTGATATAAAGACCAGTTTTGTCAATTAGAACGCACGATGATATGCAAGTTTGTAAGAGCTAGAACGAATGATCAGTGTCTAGATGAAATATCAAATGAATAGCAATTGTTCAGTTGGATCATGTTGTAATGTTGTGGTTAGTATAGCGTCATGTTCATATGTAAAACTAATATTACATGATATGGCTAACCTTAATTAATGCGACTAATCTTGATACATATTACTGATATATTGTAAATTGCACTGGTTATTTAATCCCTTTTGAATAATCCTCGTTGACAAATCATAGAAGGCAGTGACACAAGAAGATAATTCCTTGAGTTTTAACAGAATGAACAGTCTACATTCCACGAAATTTAGAGTCACTAGAGTAAGTGTACCTATTTAATATGCTCACGCGTCAAATTTTTGCCAGCCGTGAATAAATCTAAAGTTTTCTGCAACAGAGAAACATCCCCAGAACTACCAGTCACACCCCCTACACATACACCACAGTAAGTATAGATACTGTAATGTTAACAGAGAAACATCCCCAGAACTACCAGCCACACCCCCTACACATACACCACAGTAAGTATAGATACTGTAATGTTAACAGAGAAACATCCCCAGAACTACCAGCCACACCCCCTACACATACACCACAGTAAGTATAGATACTGTAATGTTAACAGAGAAACATCCCCAGAACTACCAGCCACACCCCCTACACATACACCACAGTAAGTATAGATACTGTAATGTTAACAGAGAAACATCCCCAGAACTACCAGCCACACCCCCTACACATACACCACAGTAAGTATAGATACTGTAATGTTAACAGAGAAACATCCCCAGAACTACCAGCCACACCCCCTACACATACACCACAGTAAGTATAGATACTGTAATGTTAACAGAGAAACATCCCCAGAACTACCAGCCACACCCCCTACACATACACCACAGTAAGTATAGATACTGTAATGTTAACAGAGAAACATCCCCAGAACTACCAGCCACACCCCCTACACATACACCACAGTAAGTATAGATACTGTAATGTTAACAGAGAAACATCCCCAGAACTACCAGCCACACCCCCTACACATACACCACAGTAAGTATAGATACTGTAATGTTAACAGAGAAACATCCCCAGAACTACCAGCCACACCCCCCTACACATACACCACAGTAAGTATAGATACTGTAATGTTAACAGAGAAACATCCCCAGAACTACCAGCCACACCCCCCTACACATACACCACAGTAAGTATAGATACTGTAATGTTAACAGAGAAACATCCCCAGAACTACCAGCCACACCCCCCTACACATACACCACAGTAAGTATAGATACTGTAATGTTAACAGAGAAACATCCCCAGAACTACCAGCCACACCCCCCTACACATACACCACAGTAAGTATAGATACTGTAATGTTAACAGAGAAACATCCCCAGAACTACCAGCCACACCCCCCTACACATACACCACAGTAAGTATAGATACTGTAATGTTAACAGAGAAACATCCCCAGAACTACCAGCCACACCCCCCTACACATACACCACAGTAAGTATAGATACTGTAATGTTAACAGAGAAACATCCCCAGAACTACCAGCCACACCCCCCTACACATACACCACAGTAAGTATAGATACTGTAATGTTAACAGAGAAACATCCCCAGAACTACCAGCCACACCCCCTACACATACACCACAGTAAGTATAGATACTGTAATGTTAACAGAGAAACATCCCCAGAACTACCAGCCACACCCCCCTACACATACACCACAGTAAGTATAGATACTGTAATGTTAACAGAGAAACATCCCCAGAACTACCAGCCACACCCCCTACACATACACCACAGTAAGTATAGATACTGTAATGTTAACAGAGAAACATCCCCAGAACTACCAGCCACACCCCCCTACACATACACCACAGTAAGTATAGATACTGTAATGTTAACAGAGAAACATCCCCAGAACTACCAGCCACACCCCCTACACATACACCACAGTAAGTATAGATACTGTAATGTTAACAGAGAAACATCCCCAGAACTACCAGCCACACCCCCTACACATACACCACAGTAAGTATAGATACTGTAATGTTAACAGAGAAACATCCCCAGAACTACCAGCCACACCCCCTACACATACACCACAGTAAGTATAGATACTGTAATGTTAACAGAGAAACATCCCCAGAACTACCAGCCACACCCCCTACACATACACCACAGTAAGTATAGATACTGTAATGTTAACAGAGAAACATCCCCAGAACTACCAGCCACACCCCCTACACATACACCACAGTAAGTATAGATACTGTAATGTTAACAGAGAAACATCCCCAGAACTACCTGCATCCACACCCCCTACACATACACCACAGTAAGTATAGATACTGTAATGTTAACAGAGAAACATCCCCAGAACTACCAGCCACACCCCCCTACACATACACCACAGTAAGTATAGATACTGTAATGTTAACAGAGAAACATCCCCAGAACTACCTGCATCCACACCCCCTACACATACACCACAGTAAGTATAGATACTGTAATGTTAACAGAGAAACATCCCCAGAACTACCAGCCACACCCCCCTACACATACACCACAGTAAGTATAGATACTGTAATGTTAACAGAGAAACATCCCCAGAACTACCAGCCACACCCCCTACACATACACCACAGTAAGTATAGATACTGTAATGTTAACAGAGAAACATCCCAGAACTACCAGCCACACCCCCCTACACATACACCACAGTAAGTATAGATACTGTAATGTTAACAGAGAAACATCCCCAGAACTACCAGCCACACCCCCTACACATACACCACAGTAAGTATAGATACTGTAATGTTAACAGAGAAACATCCCCAGAACTACCAGCCACACCCCCTACACATACACCACAGTAAGTATAGATACTGTAATGTTAACAGAGAAACATCCCCAGAACTACCAGCCACACCCCCTACACATACACCACAGTAAGTATAGATACTGTAATGTTAACAGAGAAACATCCCCAGAACTACCAGCCACACCCCCTACACATACACCACAGTAAGTATAGATACTGTAATGTTAACAGAGAAACATCCCCAGAACTACCAGCCACACCCCCTACACATACACCACAGTAAGTATAGATACTGTAATGTTAACAGAGAAACATCCCCAGAACTACCAGCCACACCCCCTACACATACACCACAGTAAGTATAGATACTGTAATGTTAACAGAGAAACATCCCCAGAACTACCAGCCACACCCCCCTACACATACACCACAGTAAGTATAGATACTGTAATGTTAACAGAGAAACATCCCCAGAACTACCAGCCACACCCCCCTACACATACACCACAGTAAGTATAGATACTGTAATGTTAACAGAGAAACATCCCCAGAACTACCAGCCACACCCCCTACACATACACCACAGTAAGTATAGATACTGTAATGTTAACAGAGAAACATCCCCAGAACTACCAGCCACACCCCCCTACACATACACCACAGTAAGTATAGATACTGTAATGTTAACAGAGAAACATCCCCAGAACTACCAGCCACACCCCCCTACACATACACCACAGTAAGTATAGATACTGTAATGTTAACAGAGAAACATCCCCAGAACTACCAGCCACACCCCCCTACACATACACCACAGTAAGTATAGATACTGTAATGTTAACAGAGAAACATCCCAGAACTACCAGCCACACCCCCCTACACATACACCACAGTAAGTATAGATACTGTAATGTTAACAGAGAAACATCCCCAGAACTACCAGCCACACCCCCCTACACATACACCACAGTAAGTATAGATACTGTAATGTTAACAGAGAAACATCCCCAGAACTACCAGCCACACCCCCTACACATACACCACAGTAAGTATAGATACTGTAATGTTAACAGAGAAACATCCCCAGAACTACCAGCCACACCCCCTACACATACACCACAGTAAGTATAGATACTGTAATGTTAACAGAGAAACATCCCCAGAACTACCAGCCACACCCCCCTACACATACACCACAGTAAGTATAGATACTGTAATGTTAACAGAGAAACATCCCCAGAACTACCAGCCACACCCCCTACACATACACCACAGTAAGTATAGATACTGTAATGTTAACAGAGAAACATCCCCAGAACTACCAGCCACACCCCCTACACATACACCACAGTAAGTATAGATACTGTAATGTTAACAGAGAAACATCCCCAGAACTACCAGCCACACCCCCTACACATACACCACAGTAAGTATAGATACTGTAATGTTAACAGAGAAACATCCCCAGAACTACCAGCCACACCCCCTACACATACACCACAGTAAGTATAGATACTGTAATGTTAACAGAGAAACATCCCCAGAACTACCAGCCACACCCCCTACACATACACCACAGTAAGTATAGATACTGTAATGTTAACAGAGAAACATCCCCAGAACTACCAGCCACACCCCCTACACATACACCACAGTAAGTATAGATACTGTAATGTTAACAGAGAAACATCCCCAGAACTACCAGCCACACCCCCCTACACATACACCACAGTAAGTATAGATACTGTAATGTTAACAGAGAAACATCCCCAGAACTACCAGCCACACCCCCCTACACATACACCACAGTAAGTATAGATACTGTAATGTTAACAGAGAAACATCCCCAGAACTACCAGCCACACCCCCTACACATACACCACAGTAAGTATAGATACTGTAATGTTAACAGAGAAACATCCCCAGAACTACCAGCCACACCCCCT